CATTCTTGTTTCTGCATCTTTGCATCCAATTACTAGCCACTTCTTGCTCCACCTCAAGTTTGGTGTTGAAATTCTTTCTTTCCAGCTCCCATTTTTCTTTTTCAACATTGAATTCTTCAATCTTTTGGCCCCTGACTTCAAGTTCAGCAATCAGCTGGTTCATTTCAGATTCAAATCCCTGGAACATGATATTTTTCTCACCTTCAAATTTATCAAAGATGTCATTCTTCATTTCTTCTAAATCTTTGGCTCGATCCCTTTCTCTTTGCATTTCATTCATGATCTCGCGGTGTTCAGCCTTGTGTTTTATAATTCGCTCTCTTCTGTCGACCTCAAAATCTTCCATTTTTTGCTTTCCTTTCTCAAGGCTTTTGAGTAGACGGCTATTCTTTCCTTTCAGATCTTCAACTCGACTTTTCTCGATGTTCAATTCTCTGGTCATCTGTACCGTCGATTGGCTTGGTCCTGATGCTTTCCGGGATTTATATAACTCTTGGTAATTTTTCTTTAATGCTCTAAATTCACCATCAACTTTTTCTTTGTTTTCTCTCAACATTGTACATTGTGATGAATGAAAGTCAATATCAACACCCAACATAGCTTTATCTCGTCTCATTTGCTCTAATTCTCTTGACCATCCTTCTTTTTCTGCTTCAAACTCAGCTCTCAGGATTTCAATCTCTGATGGAACCACCTTAATGCGGTCTTCCATAGAGATATCCTCATTTTGATCTGGTAGAGGAATATTTTCATTTTTCCTGACATATCTCCATTCTTTATAATCAGGAGTTAGTATTTCTTTTGCTGCTTTAGCTCGGATATAAAAAGTTGTTTTCCAAGCTGTAACGGCTTCCATGATATTTCTTTTATAATTTTTGCTGTGGAATGCGAACTCAGATGAATGTAATCCAGCGGTGACAGGTACAAATTGACGACCTTCATATTGTCTTATGACCAGAAGTGGTGCATATCCAATTCCTCCCCATAATCCGAGCAGCATTATCCAATTGTAATCACCACATTTGTAAAAGAATTCCCTTTGGATTTGCCACGGGGCTCGCCAAACAATGTCATTGCTTTGCAGATTTCGAAAGGAATTAATCCACATATCTTTCTTAATTTCTTTCGGCCATTCCTGCTCCAGAAATTCTTTTAATGGTGAATAATCCGTATTAAAGCGTCGGTATGAAACATTTTCTGTCCTCCAGAAATGACTACGGATCCAAACATATAACAACTGGGTACACCCTGAGAATCGTCCACCTCCTAGCTTTTCACAAGCATTTAACGATCTGAAGGTCTCTGCTAGGATTGCAGAAGCAGGATTAATCTTTTTCGGTAGCTGTTCAAACAAATCTACTACTGCAGCTTCAACATATCCCAATACTTTTGGGAAGATGACCATACCATACATACCCAGAGCAAATAAATCGAATCGTACTTTAATATCTGGATGGCTCTGAATAAGTTCTTTAATGTTGGTCCAAGCAATGCCTTCGCTTTCGCCTTTTTGTTTTGTGCGGGATGCCACCCATTCTTCTCGTACACCGGCAATCTTTGCTAATTTAACTCGAAAGGGTTGAGTTTTAATTGACTTTGAATAGATTCGATTCTCCAAAGCCCCTTCGATATGTAACAAAGTTGTGTATTCTTCAATAGTAGGGACCAAGTCCTCTTTATTGAGAGTGAAGCAATTGTACCCTGGATTCCAGAATTGAATTAGGGCTCTGAGTAATTCATCATCAACTTCAACATAGAGCAAATATGGGATGTCTCCGTAAGTCTGATAAAACTGCAATTTTTTATTTGAGTCCCAACTTTCCCAAATACTTCGCAAATCCTGCATATCATTTCTTTTTAGCGAAACTGAAGCATAACTGGCCAAGTCAGATACATAATCATCCTGCAGACTGTCTCCTTCTTGTCTTTGTAAGTCCTCAGCCCACTGTCTTACTTCTGAGTTTAGAATTACTTGATTTGAACACTTTTTATCCATGGATGAAAGCTTTCCAATGAGACAATTAACACAAGGATCAATGCCTTTTATCCTGTATGATGCTATGCAAATAGAAAAATAAAGAACACACAAAGAGAAATGAATTAGGTTACATAATAAAGAAATTTAATAATAACATTTACCTAAATATTTTTATTTAAACATGCTTTTTCTGAATTTAAATAATTTAAATATACATGTAATTTAATCAGTAACGAAAATAAATAAATTAACAGGAAAGTTAGAATTCATTTCTCCTGTATGTACACCTATTTTGGACAAAATTTCGGCATGACTTCGGATCGGAAGAGTTTCTAGGGTTTATTATATGCAGGGTTTCAGATTTAAGAATAAAGGTACCCGAATTGTCCTTGTTAGTGCCCCCTTGGGTTGCTAACCCTCAATCCTAGTCCATCACAGACTAAAATGGATCGAGTTCAATTCGAGGGGATACATTTCTCTATGCCTGACACGGAGAATAAATTCCCACGAAGACATAGAGCATATGAACCCCGAAAGTTACTTGCTAGGTCTGACACGGAGAATAAATTCTCACGAAGACGTCGCTTTCACTCCCACTTAAAAAGGACAACTCAATTATAGAGCTTTATGTTATGCAATGCAAGTGTTGTGTGTGAGGAGAAATGTTCACCTTTGACAGAAAAATAAATAATGAAATAAAATACTTGCAAATAAAATGAAACATATAAATATTATGAAAATAATAAGTAAATATAAAAATTTTGAAAAGAAAGAATTAAAAATTAAATATATGAACTTTTAATTTTTAATTAATAGAGACAATTTATAATTGATTTTAAAGTTTGACCAGGGTCCCCAGCGGAGTCGCCAAGCTGTCGTAACCGGTTTTCGTCCAGGCACGAAATATTATACTTGGCGGGAAAATTGATGTGAGTAAATGGTTTTGAAAATAATTTGGGAGTCGCCATCGGCCTTTTGGGTCAGGTAGGTCGAATACCTAAAAATTATTTTTTAAAAGTGTTTTAAGAAAACATCAATTAAAAAATGAACTGATCTGCATTTATAACCAAAAATTCATTTTTTTTAATAATAAAAAGGGATTCGTGGTCGGTTACGTTTAAGGAAGGATTAGCACCCCTACAACGCCCAAAATTGGTACTTTTTAATTATAAATTGTCTCTATTAAAAAATTTCAAAATATTTTAATTTATAATCTTATTATTTCGAAATTATAAAAATATTATTTATTTAAAAATATCGAAAAGGACTTCTAGGTGCCTTAAGACAGTTCTTTTCTTTGATATTAGTAAATATTAATTTAAATAAAATTAAATAATAATTTTTATAATATTTAATTTAAAATACCAGATAGGACATCCAGTTGTATTAAGACTGCCCTTTTCTTCGATATTAAAAAATAAATGTTAAAAATAATTTATTGAAAAATAAATATTTATTTAATATATATGTTTATGACTACATAATAATAATTAAAATATTTAAATATATAAACAAGTAAAATTAAAATAATAAAAATACAATTACAACTATATATTTAAAAGCAATAAAATAAATAAATAAAAAAACATTTAAAATAAGTGACTAAATTATAGTAAAATTAAAATTAAAAACCAAATTCATAATTAATCAAAATTATAGGGATTAAACATGCTATTTTCTTATTTTATTAATTTAGTGACTAAAATAAAACTTATCTAAAATTCGAATATAAGATTAAAATAAATTAAAAAATATAAACTCGGGATTAAAATATTAATTATTAAATTTAAGGGATTAAATCTGTTATTTATCCTAAATATATTATTTTAATAAAAAGGACTAAAATAAATAAAACAAAAATTTAGAGATCAAATTAAAAGGATTATAAATTCGATTTAGTGACTAAAATGTAAAGTTTATAAACTAGTATGACTGCGGAAAGGATTTAACTATTAATAATTACACGAATAGCCCTCCCCAAAACGGCGTCGTTTGGGAAGGGCTATTTAAGCCCCTAACCGGCTGGCCCTTCGGGCCAGCTATCTCATTTTTCTTTTTTTTTTCTCTCTCAAACAGAGAGAGAGCCAGAGTTCTCTCTGGCCTCTCTCTATATTCCCTCACCATAGGGAATCCAGCAGCCGTCTGCCGCCGTAAATTCCGCCGCCGACCACCGCCTCCGGTGGTCGGAAATTCCCCAAATTCACCTAAAATATAGATCTAAACACCCTAAGACCGAATCCGGCCTTTGTTTCCCCAAAAAGACTCCTAATCGGAGTAAATCTATGAAAATACCTTCGGTATTTTCTGTTCTCTGGCGATGTTTAGTGCTTCCGGCGATGGTCAAGGCTTCTTTGGTAAGCTTCTCTTCTTTCTTTTTCTTTTCTTTCTTTTCTGTTTCTTTGCTGCGTTGTTGTTGAGATCGTTGGTAGTAGTTTTTTTTTAGTATCTTGTTTCTCTGTATCTCTCTCGGTCTCCTCCTTTTCTTTGCAGGTTGGGTGATGCCATCACCGGTGCTCGTCTCAGACCGGTCCGAAAGGGGTTCTTCGGTGAGTCACCGGACTCCCAGTGGTGACTCACCGTTGGGAAAGACGTGTGCGGTTACGGCTGGCCTTCTGGAGCCTTCGGTAGACGTGGTGGCAACAGCTGGTGGGAAAGAGTGTCGGCAGCGGTGATTGGAAACTGGGGCGGCGTCGCGTGGCCCTAGGGTAATGATACCCTAGGGTTTCATCTGGAACCTTTCTGTGGACCGTTGGATCAAAATCAGATCCAACGGTCATGAGAAGCTGACGGCTGCTGGTGATGATAGAAACCCTAAATTGGGTTTAGGGTTTAACTGGGCCATTTGGTCGGGCCTGGTTGTAATCGGGCCAGAATTGGGCCTTGGGTTGTATCTGTAATAAAATAATAATATTAATAATATTAATATTAATAACAAAACTAATAATAATAATAAAAATAATAAATAATAAATAATAAATATAATAATAAAACCAAATGTAAAAAAAACTAGTGTCTTCACAATGGATTCACCTTGGATCCAGGAATTTCAGACGAGTTTACAGATATCTCCAGCATCGGAATACCGAACCATTTGCAAAGGAAAACTAGCTCAACATCGAAACACCACCTGAACATATCATCCGCGAGTGATGCTAAGTCAGTTACAGAAATTTCCAAAGAGATCCAGCAATGCCTAATAGAGTATGACATTTTCTCTTGCTACCAAAATGCTAGACCCGGTACAGGTTAATTTAGAACAAAAAAAATCCAAAGTGTTCAAGATGAGACTTGAATTCTTCTGGTTTTTGTAGAAAGAGAATTGAAATTTTATATCGAAAATCTTTTCAGGACAGTGGAGATATGGAAGGATGAAACAAACATTGAATACAAATATCTATTACTAAAAAGATTACTTAATTCCCTTTTCTATATTGTATTGTTTTGCCCATTCTTAACAACTATATTACGAGTTCATCTCCATCAACTACTTTCTAACCTGTTATTGTTTATTTCTCATTAAATGCTTATCTGTAAACAGGAAACAACAGAAATGTACCAAAGTATCAATGAGAAATCGAGCATTTTGATGGGAATACAGTGATCTAAGCATATAGTTTAGATTTGTTTTGAATTATTGGTAACAAGATAAGCAGGAAGTAGTACTTACGGATAGGTGTTGGATAGTATCTATGAGATCACCTTTTCAACCGGATGTTGGTAAAAAGCTTCCTTGCCGCAGACCTAGTAAACATCTTAAACCCACACTCCATTTTATGAAGAAATCCAGATCAAGAAAATGTTTTTGACGATTCAGTACCTATTGTGTTATTAATATAGAAGTTACTTTAAACCAAAAAAACAGAAATATATACAAAGGACACGCCTGCGTATCACGAATTCCAGGTCCAGCAGCCAAGAGAACCACAAGATGAAAACCCTTCATCAAAAAATTGCGGTACCACTTCCTCTTAAACATAGAAGATTCAACAAATTCAACAAGATGAACTCTGCAACCTGGAATAGAAAACAAATTATGACTAAATAGAAAGCCTCATAAGTGAACTTAACTGTAGCTAGAGCTTTTTCCTCAAGATGGGCACGAGATCCAATGCAACTATTGGGATCAGATATTGTAAAAGTTGCCTCACCAGTTGTCGAATAACCATGATGATCTTTTCTCGCTACTGCATGGATCTGAAGCGTGAAACATCAGATGATCTTGTACCACATGGTATGTCTTCACCAAGGGTATTCAATCTTTTACAAACCTGATTTTCAAGTTTTTCTAGGTCGGTTACATTGGTAGCCCCGTCGGCATCTAGCATTAGAAGTAATTGACCACGTGAATGTAGCATTCCCTGTTTTACAATGCTTTCGCAGAGGTAAAGAGCTTCAATCCATTGTTATCATGCGGGGGGGAATCAGAAGATGTTTGTGAACATCCAAATGAATGGTTTAGGTGACTCACTTTTCTTATTGCTTCTCCTTCTCCATGGTTTTTACCAAGAAGGATAACTCTTACATTGTTCACGCCATACTTCTTTACAAAGTCAAAAGCTACATTTTTTGTTTTATCCCTACTCCCATCATCAACGATCAATACCTGCATTATGCATCTCATGCAAGTAAGAGACATGAAGACATCAAATAAATATTTAAATGGCATGCTTTCTTCTAAAAGAGGAAAAATGGTTGTTCTACCCTTTGGCAGCGAGCCAAAAACATAATTAACCTATTTCATGATAGGCTGCTGAACATAATAGACTTCACAAATCAATTTAGGTGATCCAGTCAAAAGACGAAACAAGAAAGGCACCTCATAAGAAAATGATTCATCATTTGCCGCCCGTTTTTTAAGGTAACTACGAAGTAACAACATCAAATGATTACTATTTAATATCATAATCTTTTCAGTGACAACAAAATGTCTAATTTTTTTTTAATCCCTTTTTTTCCTAAATGTATGGGGTAAGGGGAGGTAAGATAGTAGACTGCTCCCAACACCAGGTTGAGACCAGCTTCCGTAAGAGACCTCCGAATTATAAAATATCCTTCGTGGAACTCGATCTCACGACCTCAAAGTTAAGAACCTTGTGCTCTACCAACTGAGCTGGATGGTCATTTCCATCGTAACATGTCTAAGAAACCATATTTTTAATCCTGAAAACAAGGCCATGGTTAATCAAATATACAAATAGAGAATGAAGAGCTAATGAAAGAAAGTCTTTTTCCGTCCCCTTATGTGAAGAAATCGGATTGACATGTTGGCATCTCAAGATATTACTAACTATTGAAAATAATATACATCCTGCATTTTTCATATGTTAAAGCTATTTTCGTTATCATAAACCATCCAACTGAATCACATATGTTTAAACTTCAATTTAGAAAAAGAAGCACTAACTTACTTCATGGTTTCATTGAGAGCACCAGGAAGCCTATTCTCTTCATTGAAAGCAGGAATTACTAGTGACAGGTAATTTTTTCGGTTCTTTGTTTTCCCCAACCTTTTAGCTGTTGCCTGTTGGTGGTAACAGAGTCTTTTCTTCAACGATAATGGAAATTAAGTGGGTGGATTTGTCAACTCTCAACCTCGTAGTCGTGAGTTCGAACCTCGAGGTAGGCAAATACTTTGTGAAGCTTAGTTGTATCTTTGAGTCCTAAACCAAGCACTTGAAGTATCAAAAGATCTATTAGTAATACAAAACAAAAGGAATTGATATATCTTCGAAATGCAACATGCCCATATAGTTTCAAGATAACAACAAGGTGAACTATCCAATTGGACATTTACATTTTATATTTGTATATTCTTATTCATTAAATTTAAAAATTCAATTTTAATTATTTATATTATCATTTTTATTAATTTTAATTATTAAGTCTTAAGCATCGTTAATTTGATAACACGACATGTTAGTAAAAATATTTAATTTTCATTTTAACCTCTTAATTTTAGATAAAACATTAATCATAAATATTTTGTTATCTCAAAGTAATTTAACTATCGACGGCCGTCCAAAAAAAAAAAAGGTATGCTGGCGGTTATAAATTGTTTTGGCCTTTAATATCTTGATCATATACATTAATCCTTTATTCCATTCCACGTGTGCACTTGAGTCCCGTAAGATAAATGTTAGTATTCGTCAAACAAGGGTCTGGATGCAAGCGCCGCTAAGAAATAACTTGGGTAAGTCCTCTGCTTACTGAATATGACCACGAGAAATCACAATCCCACCTTGTCGACTGTTGAATGTTGATGCTCTCTATACAGAGGGGGAGCAACAGTTTAGGACCTTCATATCGGCAATTCACAAGCTCAGAACTTTTAAGATCGATCTTGCACCTATGATTCATGATTTTAGGTTAAGACCGTTCAAAACCATGTTCAACCCTAGTTGTGCGTGTACACATTTAAGTCTGCATTTTGTAGTAAACATTATTCGTTGATGCTGGAGCTCTGCTATTTACGTACTATGGCGCAATGGGTTAGGTATTGTCGACCGTAAAAAACAGTTAATAATTTGAACATCATAATTTTGATACATCGTCATGTTTAGACATTAAAAATGGCACAGTAATCGAGCGACTAATAAAAAGCTGAAGCAGAAAACACATCATCTTCGCACCAAAATAAATAAATAAACAAATGTGTTTCAGAAGTGTGCAACTTCATATATTCAGAACAAGTTCAATGAATTAAGAATTCATCACTCATGAACAATAATATTGTCTTAGGTTGTTTCAATATATGTCACACAGCGTCGTGCAGTGAGCACAGAGCAAACATATATGTCACGACCTTCAAGGATATTTTAGATACATAGAAAACTTGTGAAAAACTAAACGTACCCAAACCTGTCATTCAACCCAAGTCTCACATATTATTCTTCATACATTGACAAGGCCTTTAATTTCAACCAAAACCACCAAAAATGAATTAAAAAAGGGTAGGCTCAACTAAGAAATTTGCTATTCTGCTTAACAGATTCAGGCCAAAAACAGTTTCTTCACAGTTTACTTTAACGGACAAGTTTAATGGATCGGAGCACTTACCTTCAACAGTAATGGTAATTAAACAAGGAGTTGAACTACTCAAAATTTCAGAGCTGAACCGTAAGCGCAAACCTGATGCGTCGTCTAGGTTAGCAGCAACAGGCATATCGACGGATACAAGACAGAGATTTGCATTGCTGAGCATTTTTAGAGCTAAGCTCTCACAGATTGCAAGAAATTTGTCTTTAACGAACAAGCTATCTCCATTCTCCTTGTCTAGCTCCTCGATGTGGGCAGTGAAAGCGCAGCTGTTGCACATAAGAAAATATGGTGGAGAATGCCGTGTAATAAGATAATTGATAAAGGAATGAAACAAGTATTAATTCTAAAGTATAACCTAGAGAAGAGAAATCGATGTTAAAAAATTATTCTGGAGATCAAACTAGTGGGTCCTCTGGTTTCCGATTCAACTGACCAGTTTGATCAAAACTCTCTTTTAATATTTAAAATAGTTTTTTTCTAATTTTAAATAAATACCAAATATAACTTGTAACAAAAATATGTATTTGGATGAACATTGTGATCTTCAAAATAAAATTAATAGGTTTCAGGTTCAAATTCCACCATTTACAAACAGTATTTTGAAGAAAATATAGGTTAAAACATATATATACAAAACCAGTTTTTAACGGGTAAAACCGATTCTATCCTGTCCACCGGTGCCCCGTGTTAATATACAATGTTTGACCAGATAGCCAACTAGTTCCCAATTCAATTGGTTTGAACGGCTGGTCTGGTCTGATTTTTTAATCACTGGGAGAAATCAAATTGATTATATATATTACACACAATGTAAAACTAAGAGTTTTACACTTTTTTAGGACCGTTGGACGAGAGAAATTAAAGACTAAGATTAACAGTAGGAAATGAGAAGATATTCACTGGGAAAAAAAACTAGTTAATCTCGGCCTTTGATTTCCCTCATCCAACGGTCGTAAAAAGGTGTAAAATTCTTAGTTTTTACACTGGGTGTAAGTGGATCCTAACCCACATATATATATATATATATATTCTCCAAAAAACTTGTAAATACATATAAATTTTCTCTCAAAATATCCAGCAAAAAGAACTAAGTGGTGACGACTAACCTCCTTGTGTATTCAAACATCCCAGGGAGACGAGATTCTTTATTGATGAAGGCTTCAACATCCATTGGAAGAGGCTTTACAAAATATCCAATATCAGGCCGCAACTTAATTGGCAGCTTCTTCCCATCACAATATAAAGCTAGCTTCAAAGGCAATAGATGGTGATGAAAGCGAACTTGAAGAATCCTTCTGCTCGTCTGACCAGGTTCTAAAGAGGCAATCGACTCCATTGGAACTAGTGTTGGCACGTTATTAGAAGATGCCAAGAGGCTGCAATATCAAAGAAATCAGGGACCAATATTGCAATGCTTAAGGCATAAAACAACTGAATCTTGAACAACTAAAATACCATACAAGCCCCGAAAAGATATTTACCATTAGCAATCATTCAGGACCGACTATATTATACAATTCAAAAAACACTGTTACCTATTTGGATACAATAAAATACTATGAATCACATAGCACTACATGAACATTAATTAAAAGAATGTACAGGGATCAGGGGCCAACCCAGCCATTGAAATAAAGAAAGTAGAACTTCCAACAGCAGAACATAAGCTATAACTTCTGAAATTAGAAACTTTAACTCATCACCCATTAAAGAATTTATACCACTGAAAACGTAACAGAGTGAATTCAGTTGAGCTTCTAAATCACTTTTCCACTCTTTGATTGCTAAAAGACTCGTCAATATATTCAGTTATTATACTGGATAGGATATTCATGTGATAGAAATATAAAAGACAATCTGTTGGAACTATAATATAGAGTTTTTCGATAATTGATCAATCAAAAAGTTGGTGAAAGATGCACAAACATGACATCTGGGAAACTTCGAAGACAAGAATAGATGTATGAACAAATTCACCTTTCATTTACATCAGCTGCTTTCTCTTCAGCATCTAAGGTTCTGTCAGACTCCTCATCAACCAAGGTTATCTCCGAAATAGTCTCTGATGAGCAGTTCTTAAAGTAAGCTTCTATGCATACAAGTAGATGGGATATGCTCGATATTTCTGATGAAAAAGAATAATCCACCTTCAAACCATTTCCACTTGTTGCAGGGTCTAAAAGTGAATAACACTTTGGTTTAACCCGCTTCTCAACATCTCCAAGTGATATTCTAGCTGATGATGTACGAATATCACTTTGTTCTGATATGCCTGGGTTTGATGAACCAGGCTGTTCATCCAACCATGATTCCAGAGCTCTATCTGACATCAATTCCCCCAGATTAGCAGCAGAAGACTGAGAAACCCCATTCTGATTTTCATAAGCATTACTAATGTCTGAAATCTGAATCAATGGATCTGCATTATCATTTCCTTCACTTGTAAATTCACTGTCATCACCACGACCACTGCCACTAGATTCAGTGATAGAACGCTGAGAATCATAATCAGAAGCACTTTCGTCATCTGAACGATCAGATGATGTGCCATAATCATCTGTCACACTGTGCTCGGCCATCCTTTTCTTAATTTCACTCGTTCCTTCAGGCACATTGAGGTCATCAACGAATAAACTGCAAGGTTTCGGGAGAGGCTCATACCCTGGAGCTGCATGAAGAACTATCTGGGAAAGAGACCCAGGAAGATAAAACCGGTAACTAAATGATTCAGCTTTCACTTTTCTTGTTTGTCTCCCTAATATGCATTCTGCAACTACACACAGGTCTTTTTCTGGAAGATCATTTGTTCGTTCCTCCTGTCCTATAAAAACTAAATTGCTTGATGGAAGTTTCTTTAAGAAACGAGATCGGTCACGAACATCATAGTTCAAATCACATTCGGCCAATTCAACCAGATAGCTGAAAATTTTCTTGAATGTACACAGATCTTCTTCTGATGCACTAACTAGAACCTGCAAGCAAGTACACACAACTGAGAATTTTTTCTGAACATTAACATCAAACAAGGAAAACAACTGATAAACTACAAAATGTACAATGAAATGAACTAAAGAAAACATGCAACGGAAACAATTTGCTGCCTGGTTTCCTAATAAGATGATATGCTATTTGCTACAACTTGTCTGGACTGCTGTTCTAAGTAAAGCAAAAACCGATTAATCTGAGGAAGGGCAATCTTCTTTTCTGGAAATAATAGAACATCACTGCTCTAATTGATCAAGAATATCTTGATCTGAGAGTCGAAAACAGAAAGGAAAGAACTGGAAGGGCTAAGAGATAAGCACTGGAATCATTGGGCATCAAGAGAAACCAGAATATTACATAAAACTTCATAACGAACAAAAATTAGCTTAGATAAAACTTCTTGGACAATTAACAGTGGAAACAATATCAATTACCTCCAGAGAATTTAAAAAGTACAGAGTACAGATTCTAATTTATATAACATTCTAGCTCACATAGAAAGGTAAATATCCAATTTGCCCATCAGTATAATGTGTGCATCTGACATAGGACACAAAACGATGACCAAATTTCCAAGTTTTAGTTTCCTTTCATTTCCTTTGGAAGAAAGACATTTATTTCAATTTCCATTAGAAATCCTCTCACCATATTGAAGAATCCAATAAATGAAAGGTGTTAAAACATGAGTGTTGCAAGTGCTTTTTTTTTTAAATGAATGTTCCCATATACTGAAGGGAGTAATAGAATATTCCAAGTGCTAACTTAAAACTATTTCTATGTATATAAATAGTAAATGGAACGTATTACAGAGGAAGCAATCATAGCACAATAAAAGTAGAATATTATGGTTCCGGGAAACACCTTACACACTGTATTAAGAATTTGAAGCTTTGTTTCCAATGCTTCGGATGTAAAGCACCATGCAAGATACTTCAAAACTGTGTTTAAAATCCTTGGAATTAACTCTCCCAAAGAGTTGTATTCTCCCACCATCCAAATAATTATTGCACGAGCTGCAGGAACCTTGATTGAATCCAAACTACGGACCAACTGAATTATAACCTTAAAATATAAAAAAGGTCAATTATCAACCAACTAATATAAGCCTGTGAAAACACGGAAAGGCTTGGTAAAGAAGCTAGAAAGTAGGATAGAGTAATGGAGAAACATAACATGTACCACTGCAGTAGCTGATCTCATTAAATCCACCTCATCAAATAAAATATAACAGTAAACATACACACAAAAATGCAATGATAAAAGTAGAAATAAATTTCATGAACTGATGAGAGGAATATTGTACGTGAAATAAGCATGTGCCATATACCGCCAAA